CCGGAAAGGCACTTGCAAGTCCCTGACAAGGTCGTCTCTGCCACAGTAGTCCCACTTCGCACCGATGGTGTTTAGCAGCGCGTCGCCAGCTCCAAACTCCAACTTTTGGGAGAGCAGTTTCTGACACCAGTCCTTCAAACAGACAAGGCACAGGCACGAGCATGTTGCTGTCAGCTCTGCCCCTCCCCCCCACCCACAATCCCTTTGTCGTTGCGCTGCCTGCCGTCCCCCCCGGAGCGCTGCAAACCCAAAGGATAACAAACGCAAAACAGCTTTGAAGTCCCCGGCCTTCGATTCAGACTCGGCCTTGGCCTTCTCGACCTCCTCCTTGGCCTTCTCGACCTTCTGCTCGGCCTCCTTGACCTTCTCCTTGGCCTCCTTGACCTCCTCCTTGGCCTCCTTGACCTTCTTCGTATCGCCCACTCGCTCCGCGTCCTCCAACTTGGCATTTGCTCTGCCCAGGTTATTCACAGCCATGCCGCCATGCCCACCTGTGCCTGTGCAGTCTTTTGCTGTGCCTGCGCAGTCTCTTGCTGGGCCAATGCGAGTGCCAGCTGCCGTTGCACCAGGGATGCGTCATCCTGCAACATCCAATAAGAAAACAAGCTTCTCATGCTGCGTTGCAGATCTGAGTTTGTAAACTTTCACGAACAGCCGGCCTTGTATGAAGCTCTCATTCTCTTCGCGGCTTCTTACTTTCTTCTTTATAGCCGCGGTAATAATAATAATAATGGTGTATCCTCATGATAATAATTCTCATCTTGGTACGTTCTTGTAGTCTTCATATTCCATTCAATGGTCAAACATAAGGTTTAGTAAATGCCCCGGCGATATATTAGTAAATGCCGGGATAATAAGTAAACGAATGAAGATTTCAGCCTGCACAATCCAAGGGCAGGAACCTCAAACCAACAAAAGCGTGAGCCAGATGACGCACCCGGAGCCTTCGCTGTGGAAGCTTGCTAAACGGACCGATCTTAAGCAAACCCTCAACTGACTAGCGTCACAACACAGGCCCCAAAGCGCCTCGGCAACCCTAACTTTTAACAACTTTCGCAAATGGACGTCTGGCTCAAATCCTTAGGCTGCAGGCCAACAAGCAAGCTGAACCCAAGCTCAGAACCAGCTGTGCCTTCTCTGCAGGTGTGTCCAGGATCTTTGCGGCCTTCGCCGGCGATTCCTGCACACGGAGGCACGTACCGCAAATGAAGAACCAAAAACTCAGTGACGAGGTCCTCTTCCTGTTCTACAGGGGCTGCCGTACGCTTCGCCATGGTGCTATGGACAACTGCGAGGCCTGCCTATCGTACTTGAAGTTCCAGGACTCCAGGAGTCTTTGTCCGACAGAGTCCGTTTTCTGCTTCGCATGGCGTTTCAGCATAGTCTATTCTGGACGTCTGTGACACCTATGCTGTTGAACCAAAACAATCTCCGCGAGCTCGGCTGCACTCACTATCGGCTCGGTGTCACTGAACGACATCCAGGTAGTTTAGGGCCCCCAGCACCTTCAGTAACCCACACACCCCCCTCCCCGTACCTCACAGGCCCCTTGCCCGATACCTCACAGCCCACAGCACCCGTCCTGCTTTTTTGCTGGTCCTTGTGCTGCATCCAAGTAGTTCAGGATGCAGCTAACCTCCCCTCCCCGGTACCTCGCCCCTCGCCTTCCAAGTCATTTCCTTTCTCCAACTCGCAGCTGCCTGATCGCCAGCGGCAGCCTCTTGGGGGCTACTTGCCTCCGTGCCGCGCCACGTCTCCTGCGAGGTCCTTCTTCAAGGTCTGAATGGTTCTGTCCACCACCGCCATGGCATTGCGGTCCTCAGACCACTTGGTGCGGCGCACCGCCGCCTCTGGCAGAGCTTGCTCCAGTGCGAAGAACTCCCGACCTTCGTCTGTGGTCACCACATAATTTCCGTCCTGCACCAGCTCGGGGACAGCCGCGGGCGCCAGGCGCCAGATTCACGACTCGGTCATCACGTTCCCGCTGTTTGCAGTGGCCACGACCTGCACGCCCGTGGAGCCGCCGATCAGTTGCAGGTAGGCGGGGCTCGGAAATGCCGTTGTCGGCGCAGGGCACTGCGTCCCGCCCCACAGCGTAAAATAATCATCCGCCGCACTGTGTGGGAGCCCGCAGCTCAGTGGACAGCTCCACGCTCCCCGAGGTAAGCGTGCCCTGCACGTCCAGGGCGCCGTTGATCACGGTGCCCCGTTAGCCGCCGGTGATGGTCAATTGGTGTTGGAGATCGCGTTGGTGACAGGCCCGTAACCTTGCGTGGCGTCGTCTATGTAGAGCTCCGTGTCCACGCGCAGCCTCGGGATCTCGGCCGAGGCGAAGGTGCAGAGGCTCTGGTCCGCCTGGTTGGTTGGTGACGCGCACCGAGACGGTGCCGGCAGGGGGCTCCACAGCGCCCGCCTGGAAGGAGCCGGCCGTGGCGATGCCGAGGCTGCTGGCGGCGAAGACGCGCGGGTTGGGGAGCCCTCAAAGACATGCCTTCTGAAAATCTGCTTTCCCGACGGCGCCTGGACCTCCATCGCAGTGCTTCTGAATCCGTGCGCGGGCCTGCATCGGGACATTCACAACTCGGCCATTCACCGGAACTGCGTGATCGGGCTCGGCGACTATTCGGGTGGTCGAATCTGGCTTGAAGACGCCTCGGGCGATTGCCCAGCTCAGCTAATCAAAGACAACGTCACTCAAGAGCTTCGAGGCACCTGGCTGGACATGCACGACACTCCCATCTGCTTCAATGCTCGCCACCGCTTTCACATGGTCGAGCCGCACGATGGCAAGATGTGGGCATTGGCTGCTTACACCCCTCTCATCTACCGCCGTGCCTCTGTGCCGCACATTGACATGTTGAAGCTCTGTGGATTC